TTAAGAAAAACAATTTCCTTAAAATGCTGCCTCAGCTGGTCGTGTAGTAGTTTTCAAACATGTTAAAAAGAAATAATGTCCGAAATAATGTCTGTTATTTAATAATGCGTTTAAATTAATTTTTGTAAAACACACTGAATAGAGCACTATATAAAAATGTAGTAGGGTAGAGCTGGCCAGAGGTCAAAAGGTGAAAAGGTCCACCACCATTCTCTCAAAAACAAGTAAAGTATAGAATTTTTTACCGATACTATTTTAAAGTAGAAGGTAAAATATGTTTAATATCAGCTATTATCTTAATGTTTGCATTCACGCTATTAGGACATAAACGACCATGTCCCTATATTCATAGCAAAATTCTTTTGTATTTTAGTAATTTTATTGTTTTGGGCTCTTTCATTTTGTCTCTAGGTTTTGGGCTCTTTCAGTTTGTGATAAATATATTTTTTAAGTTTATGGCAATTATTTTTATAAGATATATTATTATTTTTAAGTTACATTCAACTGTTTTTATATAACATGTATATTTTATATAGCTCTTTTAGCTCAAATGACTATTGATCTATAAGCTTTTTATGTAGAACCTTGCGGTAATTTGTCAAAGAATTTTCACAGATTCAAATTGCAAATATGGTTGCAGATTACCCAGGGACAATAGGAATTAGGACAATAGCAATATTTTTGCAAATTACTGTTGAATTATACAAAGAAAAAATTAAGGAATCATATAATTGAAACTTAATAGTCATTAAGATAAGAAGGTCCAGGAAACAAAAATTATACAATTTTATTATTATGCAGATGAATTACTAGATCGGAGATTTCGTCGTTTTTTTTTATTTATTTCCATTTTTTGTCATTAGAGCATCAATTTTGACTTTGTATTTATGTTTAGCAGTAAAAACTGCATTGACAACATTTGGCGTGCACCCAATACCAGACAGACATAAATTTTTTGTGAGTCTGTGTAATTTTTTCATCTCTGCTAATGAATATTTTTGACAAAATACCAGATCAGGTTATATACGGTTCAACCTTTGTAAACAATGTGCTCATAACATTTTATTTTGTTTGATTAAATAATTAAGCTATTATTTGACAAAATTTCATCAAAAATAAAAAAATACGAGATCGTCCCCAATTTTTAAGGTAAAACATACAGATAGCAAATTTTAGGAAAATAAATAAAAACATTTCTATAATTAGAAATCAACTGGGAATTGCACTGAATAGGGTTCGATAGTTGTTTATTTGATAGGTGTTATATGTTGTGATATAGCTAATTGGTTTGACAAAATATTTTTTTTGTATTTTATTGGCATTTGATAAACATTTAGCCACATACATAATATACAATATATAAGTCACATACATATAATATTATTCACTTATATCTTCACTTTTACTTTCTTTAATAAACCTATTTATTTAAGGGTAACAATTTAAATTATGTAATAATGATAATAAATTGAAGGGTTTGATCGGCGTTTTCGTGGGGTGCAGTTCCTTTAACAATTTTGACCAGTTTTCCTTAAATAGAAGACAGAATAATTATTAAAGTCGAATTGAAAGTTTGTGCTCCTCCCTACGCTATGATCTGGTCAATAAATAAAAAATGAACAAATAGTAACAAAATATAATACTTGATTAATATTCTTATTAATATCTGATTATCCTGTTGAAAATTTGGAGCTCGTCCTATATATTATAATGATCTTTTAATGCAAAAAATGTGCTAATGCAGTTATAGTAGATGCATACAACTATTATTTGTTTAACTCAGTCGGTTGTCCAAGTAACTGTACGAGTTACTGAAAGCATAAACTTTTCTATGTACTTTTTTAGGTATGAATAAAATCGATATCAATAATTGACCCTTACATTAGCTCGTCGACGCCATTCGCGCTCTGCCCTACATGACCGACATTGTAAGCCTTGTACAATGAAAATAATTAATTCATTCTTTAACTTCAATACACTTTTTGTAAAGGGCATAAAAGAACGTTCATTAACTAGAGTGAGTGGTATAATTTTTTTACAAATTTCACCGCTTAACGCTAATGGTTTTTTTTGTATAATAAAGTTATAGCTTCTGCAACGGTGTTAATTGTATTCACGTTTGCAAATTTTAAGTTGAACCTGAAACCTGAAGCAATTATTTAGAATGTACTACCTTAAAATAGAATATTAAATTTTCTGTTTATATTTATTTTAATTTATTGAACATTCGTGTCAGTTAAATAATTTCAATTAACACCGTAATTTTATATAATTATCATATAGTGATATTTTTTTTTGTATACAGATAATTCTTAATTTTTATTTTGAATTATTTGTCTGTATATAACTCTTATAATTATGCTTATTT